CTGAGGCGGGCGGGGAGGGAGATAGCTGCTCTGACGGTGAGTGCTGCCTCCTGGTCCCCAGGCACCAGCTGGGATCGCCTCAGGCTGCAGCATCTTCCACAAAGCAACCCCAGCAGGGCCTGGACCTGCACAGGAGTGATGCTGTGCCCCACGCTGCTGGAGACCAAATCCTGCTTCTCCCCAGTTTCAGCCCACCCCCATCGAGACGGAGCTATTGTGGCTGCCATCGCACTCCTCGTTTCATCCTTTCCTCAGTCCTGCGCCCAAACACCCTTTTTGGGACTCATGCAATGCTCCCCCTCCATGCTGCACCCTCACAGCTCTCCTGTCGCTGGCCCAGCTTTTCCACATGGCTCCTTGCCAAGAGCCAGCCCTGACCCGCATCTTGGGGTGGGATGTAGGATGTCCAGCCATTGGGGCAGTAGCACATGCAAGATACACATGAGAGACTGGGAGGGTGAATGGAAATTGAGGAAAGGTAAGAGACCCAGCACCAGTTCTGCCTTACCTGAACCCTGGGCAGGGCTGCAGGGAGGACACTTGTCACCCTTGGCTGGCCAAAAAGGCTTTCTCCAATGTGGAATGGGATGCATGCAAGTAGCAGGGTTACGGCTGGTCCCAATCCCTCTGCGATTCATTGCTCTGGTGTGGGAAGGGCCTGGATGCGTTTCTTGTCCAGCCAGTCTGCAGAGCAAAAATGAATGAGACAGGATACGCCCAAACCAGCTCCCTGCTTGCTGTCCCACTCCTCCACCAACACTCAGACCCTTCATGACCAGATCTCTGCGTAGCTTTGTGTCCACCTCCAGATGGCCACCGCAGATGACTCCAGCCCCAGCTTGTCAAGGAGCCCTCATTTCTCCCTGCCCTGAGCTGCTCCCTGCATGGGGCAAAGCAACTAGGACGAATTTTTGGGGCCACAGACATGGTGCAAGGGCGTGGGTACCAGCATTGCACCCTGAGGCCTTAGCACTGAGCACAGCACCTTCCTTCCACCAGCAGAGCCATGGGGGTGCTGATGTCCAGGCGGCAGACGGTGGAGAAGGTGCAGAAGGTCAGCTTGGCTGTGTCAGCCTGGGGGCCGGGCGGGGGGGACCGGCCCTCGACACGGCGGCGGGCAGAAGCGGGGGCCACACACCGGGGAACACTGGAGCAGGAGGTGCAGGAGGGAGAGGAGGAGGCATCGGCGGGACCCTCCCAGTCAGAGGAGAGCAGTGCCAGCAAGGCGGCATGGGAACGGCTGCGGGACGGCCGTGGCGTGGAGCCAGAGGAGTTTGACCGAGCCAACAGGTTCACGCCACCTGCCTTCATCCGGCCCAAGCGGGAGCTGCACGACGATGAGCCCCTGGACATCAGCCTGGAGCAGCGGGAGCAGGCAAGCAGATGGAGCAAGGGGACAGGGAGGGAGGGAGAGGGCTGGAGATGCTCGGGGAAGAGCCTAGGGAAGCGCAGGCCCATGCTGCCCCTCCAAGCAGCTGCCCACCTCTCCCCAGGTCATCAATGACGAGATGTGTGAGATC